GAATCTGTTTCAGATATGAACACAAGGTCATCTGCATATAATAAACTACCAATTGATATATCATTTAGCTTAACAGGTTTACATGACTCATCTAACTCACTTGGCAAATCATTTAAGAATAAGTTAAAAAGCATTGGGCTGATGTTACATCCCTGTCTCACCCCTCTGAGTGATTTGAAATCATTTGTTAATCCATTGTTTAATTTTATGCTATACTTAACATCATTATACATGTTTTTAATTACATTATATATTTTTCCATTAATTTTATTTTTTAATAATTTGTAATAGAGCCCTTTACGCCATATGCTATCGAAAGCCTTTCTAAAATCCACAAATCCAACAAATACTTTGTTTAATTTACCATTTGTTTGGTTTATTTGATTGGTATTGCTCCTATTATTTATATATTTATCAATTATTGTTTTAAGAATGAACATGTTATCTGTTGTTCTATAACCTGGCCTGAAACCAGCCTGACATGGATTTAAAATGTTATTTTGCTCAACATGTATATGAAGTCTACTATTAATCACAGATGTAAATAGTTTTGACAAACAACTTGACAGTGCTACAGTACTCATTCCGCTCAACCTCCCGCTTTTATCGCTTTTTTTCCGACCGCTTATCGCTTAATTTCCGACCGCTCGCTGCTTTCCGACCGGAAACCGACCGCTTTTTTTCCGCTCGCTCGCGTTCGCTTTTGTTCGCTCGCTTGCTCGCTTTTGTTCGCTCGCTCGCTCCTGCTATGGCTGGCTTCAAAAACATCGTCCGCTTGCCAACCGACCGCTGGAGTAACAATGATCGTACATTGTATATATAAACTTAAGTTTTTATTCGTAATAAATTTAGGTTTTAATGACGATTCAAAACACAACGCCTATTGCTTCTCTGCGTTGGAACAAAGACGCCTTCAAATCACTTGACACATTGTAACGTTTGCTACGCAAGTCGAACTGTGACCTGTATTTACATATTTACGTCCTTGTGTGTGTAGTTCATTATGTTATAACTGGTCAATCGCGATATGTATTGAGTACTAGTATTTGTGTGTTGTGTGTGTGTTTCTGTGTGTGATTTTGACTAAATTTATTCCGAACGGCGCTCAAAATAATTTGACACTTTGTTATTTGCGAACGCAACTCACACTATGACCCTTACTCAATTTGCACAAGTAATACGAATGCTGTAGTTCAGAAAATCTATTGGTTAACTTTTGCTCGTGTCTGGGTGCGCAAAACAAAACTGCACATATAATTATCGCATAGCTGAATTTCTACAAATCAATTGGACTTAAACTACTAGTATAATGACTGTGACGATTAATCGCTTGTCTGAGTACATGCGGCGACGA